TTAATTTAAACTTAGTAATTAAATGTGTTTCCATCGTAGTTTATGCACATTTTCTCTTTTATGATAAAAAGTTTATCCTACTCTGTTGTGTGGATAAGTTTGTTTTTTGTGTGCAGTTTCAAAATGTTTTGCCGTTTTTACAAAGCATTATAAAAAACTCTTGATGAATACATTAAGATATGCTAAAATAATGGAAATGCACAAAAAAAAGAGGATGAAAACAGCTAATGACACTCTGAATAATCTGGATTTTTGATTTGCATTACGATTATTTTTATTACCACACTGCAAATAATTTTACTTAAGCAAGATGCACTTATTGTCGGATAAACTAAATTGGCCATAGAGTATGAATGTGTGTGTAAATAACAAAGTGTATTGGGTTTTCCCATTGCTGGGGCGTTCACCAGTTGTACCATATACTCAGTGGAGGGTTGCGACTGGAAGGGCTGCCGCACAATAAAACATTTGCTAGAGTAATAGGTGGTTCTTTCTGCGGCGGTGACCCCTAATAAATCAAGGACTATGCCAAAGGAAAGTGAGTGAGTGAATATGCACTTAGTTTAGATGTGTCCAGGAAATAAGACCATATATCATTTACATATAAAGAAATAATATCTTGATTACGTTTTTACAAATATTTGTACTTAAAAACATTAAAATAATTAGAAGTAATATAATAATTACATGAAAAACAATAAATACATCAATAAATTATTTAAACATCACTTGTAAATTAAAAAGAAAGCAAAATTAACTCTGGGTTTATCAAAGAAAACCTGCTCCTGACAAGGTTAGGTTCAGAGTAATTCACCGCGATAAGTATCAGCTATCTCCCTTTGATTTGCACCACTTTCTCTCGTTTGACAAATTTCCCATTCTGAAACCATAAAACCAAAGTTTCCTTCTTTTCAGGGTTAACCTACTCAGAGTTTTCAGATAACCGCCTTTCTGAAACTGACACCTAATTAAAAAACAAAACGTGTTATTACTTGAATCAGTCATGGTGTTTAGCCACAGATTTGACCCTCTGAGCGGCAGCTCTGTTATGTAGGTCGTGTCGTTAGGCACACTGCGAGCATCTGAGGAATCTTGCATCTTCTTCACTGACTGCTAGCTGTTTTCCTGTTGAACAGTGAGGACAGTCAGTAGTTTACAATAATTCATAAATGAAAAAGACGCATTTCACGAGCAAAATTCCAAATGCTAGCTTGAAAAGTAGTGGAGACATTTGCAAGCGCTCAAGAAATAGTAACTGTTACTTGGTCGATTATTCATGCGTTAAACACATAAGTTACGTTCACTAGTTAGCAAATAACGTTAGCTTAATTTTTTAAGATGGTAGCAATATTGAAACGTGTAAGTTAACGTAAGTGAGCAAACGTTAGCTAACGCAAAGCAAAAATACAAGATGTAAAAACCATAACCTAAAAATGTCAAATCCGCACTGTAAACTAATAAAATTACGTATGTGAACAAATGTTTACGTTACATGTTTATCCAAACTTGAGAGTCGGGTTTTTTGGGAAAACGGCAGAAACTCCGAGGGAAGCTTTGCGATTCAATTAACGGTAACCGATTCAAAGAACCGATTCGCTTGTACTGTGTTGTAGATTAACGCCCTGAAAGTTACCTTATTCAGTAGTTTCTACACGTGACGACTTTACAGGGTGCTTTAGTTGTTTCCATGCTCAGTTATTCTTCTCAATCCTATTTATTTACACCTTATTTACTTTTAAATGGTCTGTTAATTTTGTTGTTTGTTGTAAAGCTTTGCTCTTTGCTTTGATGCACGATCTCCCCCTTGTGGTCGGATCCTTCTCGTCACTGATTTTCGCCTAATTTTCTATTAAATTATGAGGTAGCATTTTATTGACATTTTAAGCTCTAATTTTTGAATTAGCTTGTCTGATGGTTATCATTAACACAATTTCTGATGCAACATTTATTTCCTACATTTTTATGTTTACAAAAATGTGTATATTTGCAATTGTGCATTTAAAATGTACATTATTACAGTTTTATAATAATGTAATGAGATTAGAATTCAAATAAAAAGTTTTGAACAAAGGAATATGACAAAATACGTGCTCTAATACCTTGCTATCATCATCAAGAAGAAAAAACCCATAAGGATTTATACATTTACTCTTCCTGAAATGTTGAGTGCTGTAAAGTGTTGTAAATCTGGTTAATTTATCAGTGTTTTTACAAATTTTATTAGTGTTTCTACTTTGGGTTCAGTTTAATTTCATTTAGTTCACTTTATTGGCAAATTGATTGATTCAAAGCAGTAATTCAGAACATTTACAGTGTATGGGAAGCGACAGTGTACAGCTATGTTCAGATCTTTCCAGAGATGCTCAATAGAATTTAGGTCTGGGCTCAGGCTGGGCCACTTAAGGACATTCACCGAGATGTTGTGAAGCCTAAATCTTCTTTATTTAAAATATATCTGACCAAGACCTGGTTAATGTTCACTGCAAACATATTTTGTAAGAAAACAAACAAACTGCATTTCCATTTAAAAAAATTCAGTTCCATCCAATGTTTCAAAAGCAATCCCAATACAAAATCTTAACATTTTCTACACATTATGTATATTTTTAATTATTATTGGCATTTAATTTTATAAAACATATTAATCAAGATCACTGGAAAGGTTTGTCTAGCAGTGAGACATACTTTAGTCCCAAGAGGAACTCTTGCCATTTAAACCTGATTTAGCCAGCAGCTAGCTCTCTGCAACTCTCACATGATTACCCACTGAAGCTAAGCAGAGTCAGTTCCTGGATGGGAGACCACATGGGAAAGCTGCCAGAAGTGGTGTTAGTGAGACCAGCAGGGGGCACTCAACCTGTGGTCTGTGTGGGTCCTAATGCCCCACCAGGGGCGCAACTACACATATACTGAGAGGTATGCGGGTTCAAGTTTTGTAACTAAAATAAAATAGTTTTGAACAAAAAAAGTTACCAAAAGGCCTGATGTATCAATATGACACATAATAAATTTATAAAAACATGTATATTGTATAAAATGGATTTTGATAGAAGGATTAAAAACATTTCAGTTCCAAAAAATGTGAATATTCGGACAATTTGTTCATGTGTCAACTTTAACAGGGTTAAGAATCATTATAATCAAGTATTTATATAGGTATTTATATAGTATTTATATAAATCATATTTATATAGGTGAATTTTTAATCCAAATATTTTATCTGAAATATCGGTTTATGTGAAATAGGTCTGTACTTACATAAACATACATTTTGTGTGATCCCTCTTATTTAGGCAAAATAATTAAATAATTAATAATAAATAAAGAAAAACTTCAGATTAATCTTATAACTTTTGACCTCAACTGTACTGTATGTATGATTTGACAGTTTTATTTTGATAAAAATTGTAAAAAAAAAATCTAAAGTTACATTTACATGAACACTTTACACTTGGCTCTGCGACTGCATGTTATTGTGTTGATTTTGAATTAAAATGTGTGTGCCAACGTATGCAACTCATGGTATAATTTTTTATTTATTAAAATACAATATTATACTCATACAAAATGCAAAAAATAACATTTTTAACAAAACATATTTATTTATTTATTTATTTTTTATTTGAAACTTTTAGTAAGGATAATTTCAAAAATAGTTTTGGCACAATGGCGCCCCCCCATGTGTGGCGCCCCATGCGCCGCATATACTGCATACCCCCTTTTTGCGCCACTGTGCCCCACTATAGTGACGGGGACTCTATACTGCTCAGTGAGCGTTATCTTTTGGATGAGATGTTAAATCAAGGTCCCGACTCTCTGTGGTCGTTAAAAATCCCAAGATGTCCTTCGAAAAAGAGTAGGGGTTTAACCCTGGCATCCTGGCCAAATCTGTCCACTGGCCTCTGTCTAACCATCCTCATATCATAATTCTAAATAATTATTTTATAAAAAATAAAAAGTTTAAGGAATTTTTTTTTAATTATTATTGTTTAATTTTAAACTGAAAAACTCAGTTCATTAAGGGTTGCATGCTGAATCTGCTGTTCTAGGCTGGAAAGCAAATGTTGCCAGGGCTTTGAGAAAAGCGCTTTGTTACTTTCATCCCATCACTTTCGTTCCCGCTCTCCCCTATTAAAATATTTTAGTAATCCCAATGCTACTGCGAAAACTCTCTATTGGAGTGCATAACAGCACACTTTTGCACTAATAAATGTGCTGAGCTACAGTGTTAACAGTGTTTTTTAAGTGTCTTTTGTCCAATAGCCAACAGAAAGATTGTACAATTGACTTATCTTATTCCCAGAATGGTGTTTCAGTTGTTAATCTCAAAACAACGATTTAATTTACGAAGTCCTCTGACTTATAATGTCTTGGAACAAAAGATATTGAGGGACGCAGTGCAATGGGCGTGGAAAATGGTGAACGATGCTGACAGATTTGCAGTCTGGAGAAGAGGAGATCTAGTTTCATACAGAGCTCAGCATCTGCATGCAAAAGGACTTCTGCACATCGCGCTTCCCTCAAAAACTTACAATACAATATCTGAAAAGAATGCAAAACATGCAATGTGTGCAGATTTACTTAGAAAGAATAAATGACGTGGTAGAGTAAAGAACAGCTGTTCCTGCATCACTAAAGGAAATCTCAACTGGACCTAAACAGGTAATATATTTTTTATATTATTATATTATATATATTTGTATGTGTGTTGTGGGGAATTCTTGGTTTGGTGGAGACTTTATATTTGGGACATTTAAAAACAAATCAGCTTAAAAGTCATATTAAAATGCAGAAAGTGTTCTTTCAGGATTGTTTTTAGAGGTTAGGGGTAGAATGTACTGTTTAGTTAAATAAATAAAAAATCATCATTTGTGCTGAAAGTCTTCATAAAACATGAAATCCCAACATGTGTATGTGTGTGTCTGTTTATTGGCTGTTGAGTATTAAGCATTATTGCTAAAAAAAAATGTAGATTATGATAAATAAAAGATTATGTTTGTAATCTTAAAACAGTCTGCTTCATCTAAGCCCTCATATTATATTTATGCATTAAAAAAATCTAACTTTACCAATACAATGTATGCTTATGTTCATGTCTCAATTATGATGAGGAAAGAATCCCCTCATGTCCTCTCTCAGCAGTTTGTCCATTTAAACTCTTTCATTGGATCCTGCTCCACATCTCCATCCAGCACATTTGAGTTCTGAGGCAGAGCTCCAGACACCAGATGTCATGACACTATCATCTCTGTATGCTTCACGGGTCTCACTCCACCCACTTGGACCTCCATGTTTTTTTTGTCCCATCAGGCTAATCTGAGAGAGTCCTGAGAAAGTCTGGCCTCCTCCCTTCTGTTCTATAGATGTGTCTGGAGTAAAGAGCAGATCTGTTGGCTCAACAGCACCGTCAACGTGAGTTCAGACACATTTTGACTGTTAAATTTGATTTGTTGGAGCGTGTAGTATAAGATTTGAAGAGCTTTTGACTTTGTCATTGTCAATTTAAAATGAATAGTTAAAGAATATGCATTGATTATAATATTCTCAGACTTTATAACATCCACCCATCCATAACCATACATATATCCACACATCTATCCATAAACACATCCATCCATCTACACACACCCATACATACATCCATCTATCCACACATCATTCATCTATCCATCCACACATCCATCCATCTGCAAATTCATCCCTCCATCTACACATACCATACATAAATCCACACATTCATCCATCCATCCATCCATCCATCCATCCATCCATCCACCCAAACATCCATTCATCTGTCTACATCCATACATGCATACATACATGCACACATTTACCCATCCATCCATCCATCCACACATTCATCCGTCCATCCATCCATCCATCCATCCATCCATCCATCCATTTATCCGCAAATCCATCCATCAGCCCATACCCATACATAAATCCACACATCCATCCATCCATCCACCCATGTATCTATTCATCTGTCCACATCCATCCATACATGCATACATGCACACATGCACACATTCACCCATCTATCCATCCATACACACATTCATCTATCCATCTGGCCATTCATCCACACATTCACCCATCCACCCATCCTTACATGCATTCATCCATCCTTCCAAACATTGATCTATCGTTTAATCCACACATTCATTTATCTCTCTATCCATCCATACACACATCCATCCATCTATCCATCCATACACAATTTCATACATACACGCATTCATCTGTCCATCCAACCAATTATTCATTCATCCATCCTTCCATTCATCCATCCATACACACACATTCATCTGTCCAACTATACAATCATTCATCCATTGACCCATCTATCCACCCATACACGCATTCATCCGTCCATCCATTCAAGCATTCATTCATCCATCCATCCATCCATCCATACATACATACATACATACATACTTTCAAACCTTCATCTATCGTTCAATCCACACATTCATTCACTATCAATACATACACATTCATCTGTCCCTCCATACACACATCCATTCATCTGTTCATTTATACATACATACATCCATCATGTCCATCAATACACTCATTCATCCATCTATCCATTTATCCATACACATCTATCAGTTTTTCCATCCTTCCATCTATCCAACTTTTTATCCATTGGTCCATCTCTCCATCCATTCCTTCATCCACTCAGTCATCCATCTATCCAAACATTCACCTATCGTTCCATTCACACATTCATTCATCTATCTATCCATACGCACATTTATCCATCCATCATCCATACACACATTTATACATACACACATTCATCCACCCATCCATCCAGCCATTCATCCATCCATCAATCTATCCATCCAACTAACCATACACACATTTATCCATCCATTCATCTATCCATACACACATTCATCTGTCCATTCATACACACATCCATCCATCATGTCTATCCATCCATCTGTCCATACAAACATTTATCTACTGTTCCATCCACACATTCATTCATCTATCCATCCATACACGCATTAATCCATCTATCTATTCATGCATCCATCCATCCATCCATCCATCCATTCATCCATCTATCAGTCCATATACATTCATCCATCTATCATCCACATTTTCATCCATCCATCCATCCATCCATTTATACACTCATTAATCCATCTATCCATTTATCATCCATACACGCATCTATCCATCCATCCATCCATCATTCCATATACATTCATCCATCCATCATCCACATATTCATCCATCCATACACACATTCATCCATCGTTCCATCCATCCATACTTGCATACATCCATCTGTCCATCCATCCATACACACAATCACCCATCTATCTATTCACACATTCATCCATCTATCTATTTATCCAGATACAAATTCAAACATCCATACACGCATTCATCCATCTATCTTGCCATCGATCCAGACACACATTCATCTATCCACTGATACACATTCATCCATCTGTCCATCCATCCATACACAGACTCATCCATCTATCCATACACACATCTACACACACATACTGTACATCCATATAATTAAAGTCATCATGCATTGTTGTATTATTGTGTATCTTGCAAATCTCTGTAGAACACCTCAGCCCAATGTCTGCCAAAGGAATGAGGAACAGGGGTGGTAAATGTCTGAAGGCGGTTCATACAGTAACCGAGGCTTTGAAAATCCTCTATCGGCAAAAACTGCTCCCACTGGAGAAGTACTATGGTTTCTCCGATTTCCACTCATCAAGCCTTGAAGATGCAGACTTTGACAACAAACCCATGATACTGGTGTTGGGCCAGTGCTCTACAGGCAAGACCACTTTTATCAGGTGAATGATCAACAATAAGAATAATCAATTGGCAACATAAAAGCATATTGACTTGTAGGGATGGTATACAGTTTAACCCAAAGAATGACCAGTCTGGTAGATGAGGAAGAGCCGGAGTCAGAGATTGAAATAAATAAATCAAGTTTACTGAAGATAGTTTGCAGTTTCATCCGCAGAAGCCAGCTTCAACACTCGCAATGAGTTCCTAGGCCGCTCTGCTTACAATCACCAATCAATAACAATTATACTCTCACATAACGTCATCAACTGCGTCACACATACAGGTGTTCTAACCTGATTGGTTAAAACACAGATAGACTTGGAAAATTTCCACGTGGGGTTTGTGCGTATATTCTGAACAATATCTTAAGCATAAACGTCAGACATCCCTTAGACTGATTAGAGCTGACTCCAGACCTGTGAAACGGATCAGCAATCAAATAGAACACACACACTTAAGCCTGGTTTATACTTCTGCGTCGTGACCAACGTAACTCACGGCGCAGGCAACGTGCGCAGCTGTGCATTTATACTTCTGCACGCTGTCTCTGTTGGTCTGCATTAACACTTCCGAAACGCTAGTTGGCAGTGAGGTGTAAATGTTCCTCTGTGTCGAGTTTCTTCGCCTCTGTTTGGCTTTTCTGAACACTTCCTGGATGTACAAGTGACTCAAACTCGCTCATTTTGAGGCAGGAACCGGCGGACGTGCAACAACTTTAACCATGAGGTAAACACAGAACAAAACTTTCCATCCGGAGCTCCTTCACGGGACTCCACACTTGTAAACAATCGCTCGCGCCATGCGCGTGGCTCTCGGTCCCGCCCAGACTCGTCAGCGCTACCAAGCCGACCAATCACAGAGCTTGCACTACGCGTTGTTGCGACTTGTAGTTACAATTTTTGAGAGGTGCACGTCAGTGACGCCGACGGCCACGGCGAAGGGATATGCGTCAGCGCCGTAGCATACGCCGGCGTTTGACGCAGAAGTATAAATCAGCCTTTAAAATGCAATTTGTTTCTTATCCAAGGCTGAGTGTACTCTCAGCCGTCTTTATCAAAACTGGTTAAAAACCTGCATAATCTACATTCAGGCAGTTATATTCTTACTATACAAAGTCTATCTTGAATAAAAGTAGAATCACTTTAAAAGATTTAACTGTAAACATAACAAAATCACTTTAGACATTTTAGATAGTATTAACTACTAGAAATAACTATAGAAACAGTTGATTCCAATCCTCAGCCCTCAGTTTCACTCAAGGTCTCCGTGACCTCTGACCTAGATTGGTGGCTTCTGAAAATAGTTATAAAGAGACAGGCAAATGCACTGAACATTCTAATATTAAGCAATGTGTTAGCTTATTCATTAATTAAAATCAATTCACAGTTAAATACTCATTCAAATGATCAAATAATTATATTTAATAAAAAAATTATGAGAAACAAGATGATAAGAAAAGGATGAACGTTGGTCCATGATAAGACAGATTGGAAAGCAGAAATACGAATCCTTCAGACTCGATTAGGACAATTCTGACATCTATTTCCATGTTATAATCTCTTCATCCCCATTGTATTGTATTGTATTGTTCTCTATTCAGTTCTGTTCTATGTTATTCTACTTATTTATTAATAGTTTTCTTAAAAATGAGATTATATTTAAGGTGTGCTAAGAGAAAGGGTAAGATGTAAGTAGCTACATATTTAAAATGTACTTATTTTTTATTTACAATAGAAATGTGAAACGCTCAACAAATCCAGTGGCATCTTTTTGATAAATGTAAATTTTCAGGTGAAAATATAGAATGAATAATTTCTTTATTAATGTAACTGATAACTGCTTGTGATGAGACAAACGTTTTGCCATTTTTATATATATTGCACACATACATTTGTATTCATAAATTAAAATAGTACACTTTTAATATTGCTGTATAGTTGTCTTTACCGTGTGTTGTTTTTAATTAAGGGACAAAACCTGTTTTTTGTTTAACTCAATACCTATAATCATTTCTATACTGCACCTTACATTTTGAGACCACTTAATACAGTATGTTATATTTAATTTAACACACTATAAAGACACCGTCCTTCAAGACACTAAAGAGTATTACCTTGTGGTGCATTATGTCTGTTTAAGGGATTATGCCAGGGATAATGCAGTCTACTTCAGGCTGGTTGTTCTCATAGAATATAGGGGTGAAGCCAGACAAGCTTATCAGGCTGCTTATCAGACTTAAGGGAATTCTTCTGCGAAAACAAGCTGGATGTACATTATCCAATTTATTAAATTACTACTTGACACAAAACTAAGCAATTGAACACAAAAATAGATCTGAGCTGTAATAACTTACTAACTCGTTAATTAAATGTAAAGAATGCAGAAAAACTGACTGAATGCAGCCCACACTATCCTTCCTTTTATTATAATTATTACTATTATTATTATTATCATTATTCAGTCGCAACATGGCACCAAACAATCAAGAACAGCAGTGAGACAAATGAGCAGGTCCATATGTACAGAAGAGTATATAATATATTCACTATCGGTCAAGATGATTCATAGTACCCAGAATAAACTATTACAGTTCAGTTGTTTTTGCAGAATAAAGCTCTTCAGTCTAATCTAACAGCCCCCTGCTTAGGGCTGCTGATAAGCTTGCAGGGGCGGACTGGCCATATCCTTGTGCATTGGTTCCCAACCTTTTTTTGCCTGAGACCCCCTTGTCCCCCCGAAAAATATTGTAAGGCCCCCCTCCACATTTAATGATATTTTCGCTCACATAAGTTTGCAGTAGGTATGACAAAACATTTTTTTCACACAAACGGTATGTTTATTACTATATATAGATATGTTTATGCACAAATAATGGCCTAATGTAAAATATAATAGCAAAACATCAGTAGGCTATTTGTTTTGGGTACACCTTGCGGTATTGGGGATGAGTCATCTCCAGATGTCTTATTAATTTGGACGACCATGTGGATTTATCAACAAGACCTTTGGAGCAGATAATGCACTGTGGCTGGGTCAGGGACTCTTTGCTTAGAGAAAATGGAAAAAAACAAAGTTCAGGTGACTATCTTGGTATTTCCTGCATTTCATGTTTCCAGTATTGCTAGTGCTGCGACCCGAAATGTTTGGAGCTTCCTCACCTGGTATGTGGAGGACGAGTTACAAATTTTTTTGTCAGCCAGGGGATAAAATTAATTAAGGCAACATGATCATAATTTTCCACTGCTAAAAATTGTTGCAAAATAGGACACAACCCCCCACAGAGCTCGCTGAGGCCCCCTTGTGGGCCGGGAACCGCTGTCCTAGTGGACTAATGGTCAATCTTGTTTGCCACCTTGAATCTGGTCTGACACCCCCTTCAATCATCCGCCCGATCATTCAAAACACTCCACCCTGCCACCCAACCCGCTCTTCACTTTACCAACTGCTTACCCCAACCCCACAAACCCCCTCTTCACTTACCGATTGCCCCCCAACCCCCCTTGTCTTCACTCAAGTGACCTGATGTTCAATAACTGTCCCGGGCAAAAGTACTTTCCCAGTCTGCCTGCTGTAGGCTGGTCATGCTTTATTTTGATTAACCTCCTGGATGTACTTTATCCCTTTCTTGAGGCTTACTTATCTATTGATTATTCCTTACATATTCTAGAGTGCAATAAATATTTCTTATGTTCGGCAGGTATCTTCTTGAACAGGAGTATCCTGGAAGCAGAGTTGGCCCAGAACCGACAACCGACAGTTTCACAGCAATAATGCATGGAGAGATGGAGGGAATTATTCATGGCAATGCTTTAACTGTTGATCCCAATAAGCCTTTCCGCAAACTCAGCCCATTTGGAACAACTTTCCTAAATCGGTGAGCGAAATATATAAGCAATGATGCAACAAGAAGAAATAATAATAATCACACTGGGAAATGCTGTTGAAACCGTCAGAATTGCTCTAACAGCACAGATCACTCCAGTGGACAGAGCCAGGAGAAGAAAGCCTCAGCTAATGCATCATTATTTGGCTCAGCTGACTGCATCCCTTTGAGAAAGCACCATGTCCTGTCAGTTTGAAAGATACTGAATCTGCGTAAAACAGTCGGAAAGCTGTGATGAACAATGCTCATCTGTTGTTTTTCAGATTCCAGTGTGTACATCTGCCCAATCGGGTCCTAGAGAGCATCAGCATCATCGACACACCAGGGATCCTGTCTGTGGCCAAGCGCAAAATGGACAGAGGTACACCATGTACATCATAAACAATGCTGGAAGCCAGGGGTTTCAATCTTAATCAGTGCTCAAAAAATAAACGTTTCGAACTCAAGTAGGTAGTAGGAACTCAAGACATGCCGTATCAGATATACGAGACTCATTTATGGACATTTACTAATAGGAGAAGTTTCCCTAAAATGTCAATATTACAACAGAAATCTAACTGTTAAACATGCTTTTGAAATGCCCTGTTTTTAATGTTATCAGACAGCGATTTTTATCTAAAGACACTTTAAAGGAACTATTTTTAAATGTGACTTCTACAAAAAGGCTAGAACTGGTCAAAGGTAAACCTTAACCTTTTTAACATTTTAGATTTTATCATATGAATTATTTAATGCTGATGAATGTCTTTTTATTGATTTAAAAAATGTATTATTATTATTTTTTTTTTTTAGAAAAGTGACATTTATAAAATGTTGTAAATTTGATTTGTTTTTGCCATGAAATAGCCAGAGATATGACAGTAAAGATGAGACAATGAATTCAAAACTCTCTTTCTCAATCTTTTAGATGCCAGGGACCCCCAAAATATAATCATTCCCATGCCAAAGACCGTCAAACTAAAATCTAGAAGCAGTTTCTAAAGCCTGATTTAAATGCAAAATGTTTAATATTATATTATTTACACAATCTACAATGTGGATTTGGTACAGATTTCAAACTCGTAAAGTGAAAAATTCATAGTAAAATAAAAAGTTAACCAGCTTTCCCTTGCTTTTTAAATAAATCAATGCTATCATTGTCATTTGTTTTAGGACCTTTTAATATTTTATAATTTTAAAACATTTTAGATTGTTAATCCAAATTTTTATGTATTTATTTTTGCAGTTCTGATATGTTTATTTATCTTAAAATATTATATAATTATAAAAAATCATATATTCATTATTTTCAATATATTTTGTACTTTTTTTTTTTCTTACACAAACATTTACATGTATCTCCTAGCACTTCCTTGGAGCCCGGTGACCCCATATGGAAATGTGAAAATCGCAACAACAAAAAAAATGAATGTTCAAAATGCATTCAGAACATAATATGTAACCCAGACCTTTCTTTATTTCTTTCTTTATTTTTTTGTACTTGTTGATAGGTGTTGATGTTTATTGTGTTAAGTGTGTCATTCTTGTTATATGTGAAGCAACACCATGTCGGAATGAATTACCTTAATAAAGTTTTAAACAACAACAACAAAAAAACTAAACTAAAAACTAAACTAGATCTGCTGTCATGTTAAGTATTGAGCTGGAGCCAAATATTTTCTTACTGATGTCACTATCAAAAGACTGCTATGCCTTTTGGTGCACTTTACACTACAGTATGTCCACACTATAGGGGGAACGCCAAAGCGATGTTTTAATACACTTAAGGGAGGGAATGGGTTTAAAAGGAGCATTACTCATGAACATGAACAGATTTCCTGCATGAAAGTCTCTTCTGTAAGTCAGTAAGTGGATGGTACATATGATGGTTAGTCATTTTTTGTTTGTTGCATTTCGTCCCTATTGTGACACATACAGTTGAAGACAGAATTTTAAGCCCCCCTTTGAATTTATTAATTTTTAAAATATTTCCCAAATGATGTTTAACAGAGCAAGGAAATGTTCACAGTATGTCTAACAATATTTTTTCTTCTGGAGAAAGTCTTATTTGTTTTATTTCGGCTAGAATAAAAGCAGTTTTAATAAAATAAAATAAAATAAAAACATTTTAAGGTCAAAATTAATAGCCCCTTTTAAGCTATATATATTTTCGATAGTCTACAGAACAAACCATTGTTATACAATAACTTGCCTAATTACCCTAACCTAGTTAACCTAAATAGCATAGTAAAGCCTTTAAATGTCAGACAGTTTAAGCTGTATAGAACCAACACAGCAAAATTTCTCTGGCCCAGCTCTGGCCCACACAATCAACATTTGCTTGGCCCACATGCCGCAGTGAATTACGGTACATGATTGGACCAAGTCTGGCTTCCAGGCAAGGGCCAAACATGGACCATGTCTGGGCCAAGTTTAGCCAGGTTAATAATCTGGGCCTGAACTGGGCCATTGTCTGGAAGCCAAATTCCAGTAGCAACACAGGGTAGAACAGATTAATAATTCAAACAATTAAATCTCGATTGTTTCCTGGATAATGAAGGCATTAGAAGATGCAAACATCAAGATGGAAATTATTTTGTGTATTAAAATGTTTCTTTACTATTATTTAAAATAATTAAGAGGATTTTAAATGTGGGTCAAGATGGGCCAAACTTACGCGGCCCACATATACATTTTTAATATTTGGGCCAAATACTACATTTGACATCTGGCCCATGTCCTGTGTGCTGCCTTAAAGACGGTGCCACCTCTGCCAAACCTGGGCCATGTGTGGTCCACATGCAATATGCCAGTGCCAGCTTTATGCCAAATATGGGCCAGAATTCTTTGCTATCTGGGTGTTCACTGCAGCATGTGGGCCAACCAAACGCTAATTATGTGGGCCAGAGATATTTAGCTATGTGGGAATGAGGTGCCACCAAACTAGGGTCACGTTTGGCCCACATGCTGTATGCCAGTGCCGGATGAATGCCTGCTGTGCCAGATTTATGCCATATCTTGGCCAGAACTCTTGGCTACCTGGGAAGTGTCTTGAAAAATATTTATATTTTAAAATAGTAATATATTACTTACTTTCATCATGGCAAAGACAAAATAAATCAGTTATTAGGAATGAGTTATTAAAATTATTATGTTTAGAAATGTGCTCTAAAAAAGCATCTCTCTGTTAAACAGAAAATAGGGAAAAATAAACGGTGGAGGCTAATAATTCAGGGCGGCTAATAATTCTCACTTTTACAGTATTTAACTTCTCTTTTTTCCATCAGGTTATGACTTTCCTTCAGTTATCCGCTGGTTTGCGGAGCACGTAGACCGGATCATCCTCCTGTGTGATGCACACAAGCTGGAGATTTCTGATGAGTTTTCCCGCACTATACTGGCATTACGAGGCAATGAGGACAAGCTCCGAGTGGTGCTCAACAAGGCCGACATGGTGGACTCGCAGGAGCTGATGCGGGTCTACGGCGCCCTCATGTGGTCTCTCGGGAAGGTCTTCTGCACCCCGGAGGTCCTGAGGGTCTACATCGGCTCCTTCTGGACCGCTCCGATGCGAATCACAGACAACCGCAAACTGTTTGAGCGAGAGGAGGGAGATCTTTTTGCAGACCTTCAGAACCTGCCAAGAAATTCTGCCCTGAGAAAACTCAATGATCTGGTGAAACGAGCACGCCTTGTAAGGGTGAGGACACGTCTGCTTTCTGACACTAGTTTAGTTCTGTGAAACAATTAAAAATGTAACTTTTAATTTGTGCTGTTTGCTTTGAGGTTATCTAATGTTTTGAGGAAATCTGAACAGAAATATGCGTTTGTAATGTTCAGCATTTCCAGGTTATAGGAAAAATGTTTTCAAAATAAATGTTTTCATTTGTTGCTATTTGAAAATCAGGGTTATTTCACAAAATATTGATTTATTAACAGTTGTGAAGTTAAGATTTTCATATTGTGCAGACTAAAATGAATACAGACATTCTGTATGAATACATTACAGTCTGAAAACATGGTACCCTTCATGTAATTGCATAAAAGATACACTGTAAAAAGTAATCTCTGCAGAGTTGCAGAGTGTATGGGTGATTCCCAGTGATGGGTTGCAGGTGGAAGGGCATCCGCTGCGTAAAACATATGCTAGATAAGTTAGTGGTTCATTCCGCTGTGGCGACCCCAGATTAATAAAGGGACCAAGCCGAAAAGAAAATGAATGAATAAATGTGGAGGGGGCCTTACAATATTTTCCAGGGGAAGGGGGTCTCAGGCAAAAAAAAAGGTTGAGAACCACTGGCATATACCATATATACAACTATAAAAGAGATGAGACCGCTAAAAAAATGATTTCAGTTTCTCTGGAATTTACTAACTAACAAACTATCTACATTGTAAATAGTGATTAGTTACCTAAAGCGAGTAAAGCAATTGCCTTAAAAGCAACAGGCTGACTTTACCAAATTAATGTAAGTAAACCCATTGTACTTAACTTGTACTCACCTTTTTAAAACCAACTAATCCTTTTTACAGTGTCACTATTTTAGCACATCTGTTTTCAATTAACTATTGTAATTATCACAATATTACATATTTGGTGGTTCATTAAGTGTATAAAATCTACAATTAAATTTAGAATTTAGAAGACACACTGGAGTCTGGAAGAGCAGATTTGTTTTTCTTGAGGGGGGGAACTAAAGTAATAAAGGTGTATTGAAAAAAGTAATTAGTTTACTTTTATTTTAAAAAATAAGTACAATTAGCATAATTATAAAAATTAAGTCAACTTAACAGTTCCAAGTTACAATGGGTTTAGTTACATTATTTTTGTAAAGTCAGCTTGTTGCTTTTAAGGCAATTGCTTTACTCGCTTTAGGTAACTAATCCCTATTTAAAATGTAGATAGTTTGTTAGTTGGTAAATTCCAGAGAAACCGAAACAATTTTTTTAGCGGTCTCATTTCTTTTATAGTTGTATATATGGTAAATGCCAGTGGTTCTCAGCCTTTTTTTTTTTTTTTTTGCCTGAGACCCCCTTTTTCCCTGGAAAATATTGTAAGGCCCCCTCCACATTTATTCATTTTCTTTTCGGCTTGGTCCCTTTATTAATCTGGGGTCGCCACAGTGGAATGAACCACTAACTTATCCAGCATATGTTTTATGCAGCAGATGCCCTTCCAGCTGCAACCCCATCACTGGGAATCACCCATACACTCTCATTCACAGTTGTACTCTATGGATAATTTTAGCTTATCCAATTCAGGCGTGTGTCTGTGAGGCGTCAGCACTACCTACTGCACCCCCGCATCAAATTTGTGTGTTTTTTGGTCAGGCAGGGGATAAAATGAACTAAGGCAACATGATCGTTCCCCTAATTGTCCACTGCTTACACAAACACACACACACACACAGAGCTCACCGAGTGCAAATGCGACATCCTAAAGGGTTAGTTCACAATAAATATAAATTCTGTCATCTTTAACTCACCTTAGTGTCTTTTCAAAAACGCATAAGAGCTAGAACACTAATTAAGGTGTTTCTTTCTTTTTTTTAATTTAAAAATGTAATTATCCCTTATTATTACGATTGTTAAATTAACAAAGATTATAGCATCACCTCAGAGTATTTTCATGCACTCAGAGGTGACACAACTTTCTCTGTGTTTCAGCAAATTGAATGATTTTTGGCGACACTCTGGGCAAATTTACTACCCTTCCATTATGTTAGTAGCTGTTTTTGCCCTATTGACTTCCACTATAATACAAATTTTAATTGCAAAACCACCATATAATCATGCATTCTTGATTGTTGCTGGTTTTCATTGTTGGGAAGAGGCCTAATTTGTCATTTTTGCTTACAAAAGAGTTAAATAAATAAATAATCTGTTCTTCAAGTTACTTCATTTCTCCATCAGGCTTGGTTTAAACCACTGAATTAATGGATTTCATTAATTGTGTATATATAAACCTTTTGACCTACAATGATGGACAAAAGTTCAGGTGCCATAAAAATTGTTTATTTGTGTCCTCAAAGGTTTTGAATGATAAGAGGTTGAGTAACGGATTACAGAATTTCTGTTTTTGGGTATAATATCCTTGTAATTATTAGTCATGCAGTATACCACACGATATATGCCCAACCACTGCTGCATCTGCTTAAATCTCCACTTTGTAAATAATGGTTGTTCCTGTTATCGAAGCTGATCTGCTTCTTTGGTTTCCACCTGTCCTACTAAAACATTAACATGACTTCTCCCATTTCTTTTCTTCACCCACAGGCTCATGCTTATATCATCAGCTGTCTAAAAGACGAGATGCCTGTTGTTTTCTGCAGAGGAAAGAAGCGGCGAGATCTCATCTATGACCTTCCCACCATCTATTCCAGAATCCAACAGCGCTATCAGATTTCACCAGGAGATTTTCCAGACTGTGCCAAGATGCAGGTTCAGATGTTTAAATACTTCACAGTCAAGCATGCTTATTAGGATTTATTTGCTTTCTTCATTACTATAAGCATTACAAGCACAGTCTTAAAGGTACAGCATGTTAGTTTGACACCCAGTGGTTGAACTAGGTATTGCACCTATGGTTTAAAACAAATGCAAGAGCAGGTTGTCAGATTGACAACACCAACAAAAGCTGATTTAAATTGCGTTCTATATAAAATCAACAGCATACGAAGGAATATTCTCCATATTAAAAGGAGTTTTTTGTCACGGTCGCGGTGTGGAAAAGGAGCGAGGACTCAAGTGCAAAGAAATAATGGGTATTTATTAATAATAAAATAAAAATAAAAGGCAAAACAAAACTACCCCGAGGGGGAAAACATTAACAAAACACACAAACTTGGCTGGGCTGACAAGACAAGGCAAGACTGGAGCAGGAACACGGGGAGTGTAGACAACGAACTGGCACAGGACTGAAAACATGAGGGGATTATAAAGCAAAAAGTAAATTGACACACAGGTGAACATGACTAACTAATAATGAGTTAACAAGGAGGGTGGGACTAGACAATAGGCGGGACAGCGCATGACACAGAGAGACGACACAAGCCATGCCCTCACATAAAACAGGACAAGAACATGCAGCCAATGAGAGAACTCATTAACCGCATGTTCATGACAAGACAAGTACAACACTAAAGCACACGACAAAAGCACATGACCACAATGTAAACACAGAGCCACGTGCTTTGACAAGAGACGCAAGACACGAGCACACCATAAATAAACACCTTACCGTGCGCTCACCCATAAGCAACGCGCATGCTTCATCTCAGCGCCAACCAAAACTGAAACCAACTAGACGGAGGCGCCAAGAATAAAGCAGCGCGATGCTGACAGAACAAACACAAACACTAGTACAAGAGCGAGCGCTTCTGAGGGACGCAGAGCACGCGCGGCCACATCAAGCGGCAGCGCGCACACTCTGCGTACACCCACGACGGCGCGCGCGCACACAGAGACAGAAACAGGACCAGACATGGGTAGTGTCAGAGCTCTGCCACCAAAACAAGAATTTACAAGACCAAAGTGTCAGAACCCTGACATTTTTGTCCTAACCAAAACCTAAAATTGATATTTTAGAAAACGTCTTTTATTTCTTGCAGCTGAACAACAGAAAACTGACAATGATCACCTCAGATACATCTCATGTGCTGTATTCAGTGTTAAATGCTAAGAATGTGAGTTTGAATGCCATTTTACATGACATTTATTGCCATACTACTGAAAGCAGCAGCAGATCTTACAGCGTCACCTCAGATCTTGCAAAATATCCTGTGAAATTGAACGTCAGACTCAGTGATTCAGCCTGTAATTGGAATATGTACTGAAAATTGAAAACCGTATTAATTAGATTGTAAACCTTAACATTTCATCAGAGTGCAGTGAGTGCTATATTCTGTTCTTCAAAATGGCTGTATTTAATTTTCGTGTTGCGTCTGGTGCAAACGTCTGGTCAAATTGCTTATCACTGCAAATCATCGTCACGTAGCATGTTGTTAGGACACGGGGTTGCAATGTAATCTGCTCACACTCAATACTGCTAATGTTTACATTCGTAATATTTATATTATTTGCTAATTAATAACCATCTCATTTTGGAGTCTGCTACTGTCCACTGGAGGTTGTAATTTTTAGTCTCGGACGCATGCTTTGAGAGCCTTCATGACTGAATGAATCACACCAAGGCAACCCGAGTGCTGAAATATAATTAGCTAAACTGGCATTGGGCAGGTCAAAGGGACCAAAACAAAGACTGCCATATCTTTACATATGAAAAAGATATAATATATTAAGGATTTATATATATATATATATATATATATATATATATATATATATATAGTATTTAAATATAGTATTTAAATATAAATGATTAAAATATTACAAAACATATTAATTTCTAGCCTACATGAATTTAAAAACCACTGCCTTACTTTCTTCATCTCGGGAGGCTTTATCAGTTCATTCAATTTGCTTTTGTATAATGATATTATTATTAGCAGTATTATTTATTATATCCATATTTATATTTGTTTTATTAAAAACAAGCTTAGATTTGTCCACCCGTCGTTTTAGACCATATGGGGCATAGCAGGTGTATTTGGAAAAAACTCCACACTACCACACTTTGTTATTATTGTTCATTTATTCGTTTGCTGGAAATTAGAACTGAATTTAGAAATAGTTTTGAAACAAATATTTGCGCTTAACAAACGCAATTAATTATTTTTAGGCTAATTGATGTCTGTGCAGTAAGGTTTCCCTATCCACGAGAGCAAAAGCGAAAGTGAGCTTACTTTACGTCATGTTAATAGCAAATACGCTCATGACGCGACGCAACTGGCTCTTAAAGGTAATGGGAGATGAGACTCTGATTGGTTTATTCTCAAAACACACCTATAACTCATTACGAAAATAAGCTCAACCCATTTAGACCATGCGCCACGGCGCAAAGCGGATTTTCCCGTTCTTAAATTAGCAAAAAATGCGTTCTGACATGCCCTGAAAGCGTTTGCGCCCTGCGCTTTGCACTCTGCGCATGGACTGTCAAAATAGAGCCCATAATGGTGGTAATGTTTTAAAGGTGTTCTCGTGAAGGAAGTTATTTTAAAAATAGCTATATTTCACAAATGCTTATTTAGCTTATACTGTAATAACCATTGCACAATAGTTCCAAAACGTAATTAAAATTTTGAAACAAAATGACCAAATACCATATCAGAAAAGTCTAGTGGCAGGTAATTCGCTTTTTTTACAGCACGTCTGTTTTAACATTAATGTTGTTCGTGCTTCTTTCAACATGATCCACCAGTCGTAAACCCAAAGGCTTGCATGTTTTCCAGCTGAATTATTTTTTTCAAAATTTTTTAAAAATGTTTTATAAAGTTCAAAATCAGGGCAAAACAACTGTGTAAGCTATCTGTTAAACATTATGATGACTTCTGCAGACAACATCTTGTGTGACGTATGAGCTTTCGATGTCATATGTTGAAGTGTTGCAGTGTATAGTGGTGTCCCATTTCTTAGGGTAATATTTTCATCCCTACCCATTCACACTCAAGACCCAAGGGGATAATGTAGGGGTATAACAGAATTAGGATTGAGCCTTAAAGAGGAAAATGGTTCTTTAGATTAAATGTTTCTAACACTTTGAAAATGTTTATATATATACATATATAAAACCTATCTATGTAACAGAAACCAAAAAGAGTATGGAGCCAGATCAGTCTCAATAATAATACATTTATAAAAATAAAATGTATACGCGCACAGCACAATTAGCATTTATAAAAACCAATTCGTAAATCTAAAAATGCAAATCCAAATCGTAAATCCAAAATGCAATTCATAAATGTGCAAATCCAATTTGCAAATCAAAAACACCATCCGTAAATGTGCAAATCCGAGTCACAAATCCAAAATGAGATTTGTAAATGTGCACATTTAAATCGTAAATCCAAAACACTATTCACAAATGTGCAAATCCAATCGTAAATCCAAAACGCTACTCATAAATGTGAAAATTTAATTTGTTAAGTCAAAACGCAGTTCGTAAATGTGCAGATCTTATTCGTAAATCCAAAGCACAATTTGTAATTGTGCAAATCCAAATTGTAAATCTAAAACACAGTTCAAAAATGTGTAAATGTAATTCGTAAATTCAAAATACAATGCATGAATTTACAAGTAAAAAGCATAAATATTTCCCATTGCTCACACAAATGTATCTTAACCCAATACATTTTAAATGTTTGCCCAAATACTTATATCAAGTTCTTGAACTGACTTCCATCACACATTTATAAATTTGTGCAGTTTTAAAATTACTAATTGGATTTGAGCATTTATGAGTTGTGTTTTGTATTTACGAATTGGTTTTTGTAAATGTGAATTGTGCTGTGCGCGTATGAATTTTATTTTGTAAATGCATTATCACTGAGACTGATCTGATTCCATGAAAAGAGTTCTTCTATGGCAGCGTTTCTCAATCCCGGACCTTGCGGCCAACCGCACTGCACATTTCCTACATTTCTCTTCAGCCGTTTGTTCTAATTCAGCAATATAGTTCTGCAAAGTGGACTCCACAGGATATTTTGCAATGTTTTCAGTTTGAACGAAGCATATATGCTTCAATCTAATGACATTTAAGTGTGTGATGATTTTTGCATTTATATTGTATTTATGACAACAGAGGTTTATTATGTCACACTTCACTCTTCTCTAGTAAGAAGACGCTGCAGATGTTGGGGTAGTTTAAAAACAAGAAGGAAAGTTCTGAAGTGGAATGAAGGTTTCTCATGCTCAGGTAGAGAGCAATGAAGGAGGAGGGACTAGATATCAATGCACACTGTTTAGAGACCTGTCAATCAAAACAGCTCATGCACGAAGCTCTTCAAATAAGCTGGGCATCCAAATCAGCTGTGTTACATTAGAAAAACATTTAAAATATGCAAATCAGTGAGAACCGGGATTGAGAAACTCTGATCTTCTACAAAACCCCTTTTTGATTACAATACAGTGCATTATCAGTGTTTCTCAACCATGTTCCTTGAGGACCACTAACACTGCATGTTTTGGATCATGTCTCCTTGGTCCTTTGGTCACTGCTAATGAGCTGATGATCTAAACCAAGTGTGTTTGGTTAAGAAGACGTGTAAATGTGCCGAGCTGGTGGTCCTCCAGGAACGTGGTTGAGAAACACAGCAGTATATAATATCGGTCTGATAAGCATTTTTATATTCTCATCGCACACAGGAGCGACTCATGAGCCACGACTTCAAGTTTAAAGGCCTCAAGCCCAAGCTCTTAGCTGGGTTGGATGAGCTCCTAAACACCGACATTGCTAAGCTGATGCCTCTTCTACGCCAAGAGGAAGAAGAAGCAGCTGATCAACTTTTAATACAAGGAGGACCTTTAGGGTCTCACAGGGGCCCGTTTATTGTGGGGAACCCATTTCATCACTCTGGATCCAATGGAGAAATCGATCAGGCGTCAAATGATGAATGGGTGGTGTCAAAAGATAAAGCAAAGTACGACGAGATCTTTTACAACCTCTCGCCTCATGAGGGAAAGCTGACTGGGACTAAAGTGAAGGAGTGGATGTTGCGCACTCATCTGCCCAGCTCGGTCCTGGGACGAATCTGGAAGCTGGCAGATGTGGATTGTGATGGTAAGTTGGACGATGAGGAGTTTGCTTTGGCCGGTCATCTCATTGAGGTAAAGTTGGAAGGTTTTGGGCTTCCTCATGAGCTGCCCACACACCTGCTGCCACCGTCTAAAAGACACCGCAAGAACTCTGAGATTACCGACGATGATTAGTCTGCATGTCCTAATGTTTATGAGGACAGTGTTTATTCAACATGCTAGTCATGAATAATGCTAATCACTCCTATTACACTTAACATCGCCTATAGCTTACAATGGTTGGATGATTAAATCCTCCGTAGACAGAAACGTCTCAAGAGCCAACTTGTTTTGATAGTTGCCTCTGTTCCCTTGGGAATAGCTTACCCAGTGCTTAAACATGCTTGGTTGCTTGTAGAAATGCCCTCAAGACTACAAATGTCAAAACGTAAAGAGTTAGTTCACCCAAAAATGAAAATTCGGTCACACTTTGCAATAAGGTTCATTAGTTAATGTTAATTAATGCATTTACTAACATGAACAAACAATGAAAAATACATATACTACAGTATTTGTTCATGTTAGTTAATGAAAATACAGTAGTTCATTGTTAGTTCATGTTAACTCATGGTGCATTAACTAATGTTAACAAGCATGGACTTGGATGTTAATAATGCATTAGTAAATGTTCAGTTATGATTAATAAATGCTGTACATGTGTTGTTCATGATTAGTTCATGTTAGTAAATGCAATAACTAATGAACCTTATTGTAAAGTGTTACCGAAAATTCTGTTTTTAGTTACTCACCCTCATGCTGTTGCAAACCACTGGGATCTGTGTTCTTCTTCAGAACACAAATTAAGAGTTTTTCAGGATGTACGCGGGGTCTTAAAAAGTATTAAAAGTTGATACGTCAATTTGGAGAAATGTAAGGCCCTTAAAAAGTATTAAAAATGTTATTTTACAAGGTATTAAATTTTGTAACATTTTTGATTATACAATGTATTGTGTGCCTGAATTTATTCTGCGAATATTGCGGTTCTGTGTAGTTTACGAAATCCTACTATATTTGACATCACGCTGCTTTGTTTACTGCAGTAACAAAGGCAACACTGTTATTCCTGCTGTTTCATAGGCGCCACCAGCTGGATTAACAGTATTTAGTAAATATACTGCAAGTTAAAATATCACCAATGATACTAAGATGGCGACGAGCTTAAAAATGTATGGAAAGAGTCTTACAAAAGGTCTTTAAAGATATTGAATTTCATTATCTGATTCCTGTATTTTCATTCATTCATTCATTTTCTTTTTGGCTTAGTCCCTTTATTAATTTAGGGTCGCCACAGCAGAATGAATGCCCAACTTATCCAGTTTATGTTTTATGCAGCGAATGCCCTTACAGCCGCAACCCATTACTGGGAAACTCATTCACAATCACATTCTTACGCTACGGTCAATTTTAGCATACCCAATTCACCTGTACCACATGTCTTTGGACTTATGGGGGAAACTGGAGCACCCGGAGGAAACCCACAGGGAGAACATGCAAACTCCACACAGAAACGGCATCTGACCCAGCCAAGGCTCAAACCAGCGACGTTCTTTCTGTGAGGCGAACATGCTACCCACTGCGCCACCCCGTCGACTGATTCCTGTATATTTATTTCATAAAGTTTCTAAAGTTTGTCCACAACCTCTTAAAACACACTTGGGACACGTATATATCTTAATTTCTGCAGTAAATATACAGATGTAAGTGCAATACTTTTGTATATTTCATCATTTCAGCGAGGGTAATGATAGACTATAAATGTATGTGTAAATGACACTTGTGTACCTAATCATGACAGGGTATACATTTAACTACATGTACATAAGATTGTAAATACACGCAACACTATTAGAATACAGACATGTACAAATGTATGCAAGCGTATATTAATGCATTTTAGGACATGTTGTGCATTTGTGCCATCTAGCCACGACTAATTTTGGCCGGGGAGAAGACTTTGCATTCGGACCAACAGTATACAGCTTTTGTGCCGTCCTGCCATGACCCCTTTTGGCCAGGGAGAAGACGTTGCATCCGACTAATGTTTGTTGGGTAAATGCGAGAGCTCACTCACCTCCAAGAAGGGTCCAGAAACATTCAAAGTCTAGAAATGGAACCAAAAACATTGTCAAAACATTTCATGTGACTTCAGTGGTTCAACCATAATCATACAAAGCACCAAGAACACTTTTGTGTGCCAAAAAACTACAAATGCATCTTTGTTTTCTCTTTCATGACAGGTCTGAGTGCAGCCGTATGACCTATTGCCATTTATGCTGGTTTCACATTAAGTGAAGTATTTGCTTGTTACTTACAAAAGCCAATGCAAATGTACAAATAGAGACAAATTTCTACTGGGCAGCACCAATGATGTGGGATGCATGATGCGTTTGGTGCATACGTACAGAATTCATCATGTATTTCTCCCAATCAGCAACATCCCGCTCTCCCTCATGAAGCCAATACGGAAATAACTACAACTGCAATTCATCGGCTGGCCTTTGGGGGCTGGCTCCAGAAACCCCAGATATCCACTGACTGCTATGCTAAATTGGCTATTTTTACAGCTGATAAAAACGTGTTTACAGCCTCGTACAATAGACAGTTTTGGTCTATAGAGCTAACATTACTCTTCATGACAACTGTGAGGAGGGTGAATTTTTTTTTATAACTCATTCGTTTAATTTATACTCTATAAAGAGCTCAGCATATACATCATATTTTTGTTTTGTTTTATGTGGCTTAACCCAGTCAGTTGCCTTTTGGGATTATTTCCTGCAATTATGAGATAATATGGCATGCAGTGTGCACTTAATTGTGCTCACAAACCATTCAAGTGACCTCTTTTTCCCAGGTGAGCGAAATTCTTCTTTTTGAAAATTATTGAACAGTCATCTGAATTGTTGTCATACAGTGTTATGCCTGGATTTCATAAATAGCCTTACATTTACTAACACAGACTATATTTGAAGTATTTGGAAGTAATTTGCATTTCCCTCCTGTAGAAACGCATCAAAAGAACAATGTTTAGTGGCTTAACAGTGGTTTTAAAACAAATCGTAGGTAAACAAATCGCAGGTAATGAAGTATTAAGCGTTTCTCCCAAAGAAAAACTCATCTAAGCAAAATGCTAACAGGCATTTGTAGCACCTTCTCTTTGCCTGTTTTCGGTTACTTCCAGTTGGCGCGATGACGCACAAAATAACGACGGTTGGCCACGCCCACTTGTAGCTTCATTTGTTCTCTTAAGAAACCTATTGGTGATGTCACAAATACTACGTCCATATCTTTTACAGTCTGTGCTTCCCAAGTAAAAAGCAATTGCAGAAAAATCATGTGAGGCAAAAAAACATCCCATGAGTAAACCAGAGAGAGTGATACAAAATGCATGTTTTCTTGCTTTTAATGTGATTCCATTATTCGAGTCAACTGCTCGACACACAAGCATAGCATTGCCCATAGTAAACACACACCCAGGGCTTAATTTGTGCCAAAACACGCCAGATCCGGAACCTCTGAAATATGTTCCAGCACCTCATTTTACCGATCCCCCTCCTCAACCGCCCTGCTCCCCTGTCCGCTGTTTACTTTCACTTTCTTCCGCGACTCCCTAACGCTTCACTTTTTGTCCGTGACACCCCTCCGCCATCCGCCGCACCAGTCCGCGCGGCACCTCTTCATCCTCGGGTAACATGCCGGTGCCGTAATCCCGATCTGTTCCGGGACCTCGCAATTCACAAATTAAGCACTGCGCACACCCTAATGTGACATGGAAGTCAAGGGGGATCAAAGTAGTTAAAGCTTTTTTTTGGCACACAAAGGTGTTTTTGATACATCGTATGATAACAGTTGAAACACTGAAGTCAGTTGGACTGTTTTGGCAATGATTTGGGTTTCTATGGACGTTGAACATCTTGGTGCTCTTGTTGTGTATTAACAGGTTACTGAACTAAAATTGTGTTTTTTGTGTTTATTTGGACTAAATGCTGTAGCAAAAGAGAGTTTTCATTGAATGAGTTTGAGCATAATGTGGGACAGTTCTGAATTCAATTTTACACAAAAATGAGTTTGAAAAAAATCTAATCAAATTAACTGTACAAGTCACTGTAACTTACATTACACTTTCAGAAATAAAGGTACATCGTGTCACTGGGGTGGTACCTTTTCAAAAGGTACAAATTTGTACCTAAAAGGTCCATATTAATACCTCAAGGGCACATATTAGTACCTTAAAAGTACACAAGTGTTCCTCTTAAAATTTTTAGGCACTAATATATACTTTTGATGTAGCGATATGGGCCCATTAAGTACAAATGTGTACCTTTTGAAAAGGTACCACCCCAGTGACAGCTCGCATACTTTTATTTCGAGAGTGTACATTAGACTGACTTAAAACATCTGAAGGTTGTTTAGCCTAAAAAAAGTTTAAACATTGGCAAATTATTCTATTATTCTAACTTAATTATTAAGTTTAGTAAAAAAAAAAAAAACATATTGCTGTGACTTTATTCATACAATTTTAACAATAGGCAAGTTTTGGTCAGGGTTTTTTGAAGTCGACTCGGGCTAATATTTCTGACCCTGTTTTGATGTAAAATTAATGGAGCTGAAGAGTCAGGAGTCTACATTATTGTGCATTTGTTGCCTAAATTTACAGTTGGGAAAATTAACAAGGAGCAGATGGGGTTTAGATGGGGTATAATGCAGAAATAAATAAAGAAGAAAGAAGGTAATTTTCAAATGAAATTTATATATTTTTTTAAAGACATACACGTCGAAGAGTTGGGTACAGAGTATATTTAGGTGTGAGTACACATTTTGTAAAATCATCAAATTATTAAAATGATTAAAGTTATTCAAATGAATAATCTATATTAGAGTAAAAAAACTTACCCTAAAATCTCACAGTTTTGGGACTGAATATAGTTTGTGTGTAAGTGAGAGTAAATTTTCATTTTCAGAAAAAATAAGTACTAAAAAATTATAAATAAACTAATCTATCCTGCTTGAGAATTTAAGTTCTTGAGCAACGACAAGTTAAAATTAAACTCATTTCATTTCAGTGGGGTTCATATACTGGTAATTCTCAGATGAACTGCTCTTATTTCAGTGGTGTATTCAAATAAAATAAAAAAAAACATTGGTTTTAAAATAGTTTTAACTAATAGTTATTAATGTTGTTTAAGCGTAAATTATCTACTATTAGAAGTCTATAGTGAGAATTTGCATTTGTATTTTAAAAGTTTGTTTGTAATGGTATGTATGTATTTCATATTGTTGTATGTATATTATTGAATGCAAATGTTCCTGTTTATCGGCTTGTTAGCTGATTGTGATAATTGACTGCATGCTGTTTGACTATTTCTGGAGTACTTCCATTTGCAATGCTTTACCTGATGAAGACCATGTCGGTCGAAACATTGTGACTTTGACATTAAAGATTTTTTTGAGAGCTAAAGTGGCAGTGTG